GAGAGTCCATACTGTATCAAAGGTGTGCAAGGGGTGATGCTGCATAGGGCGCTCTGACCATGTGTCCTGGTGCTTTATGTTCCTGTCTTGAGTTTCACTGAAGCAACCGGAAATACCCAAGGAGAGAGCTCTGAGTGAAATCCATATGACATTTGATGGAGATGTGCATATATATACATATATATGTGGGTGTGTGTGTATATATATGTATAGATATACACACTTTTAAGTGCACTGTATTTTTTTTCTAGAGGAAATAGGGGGGTCTGCAAACTGTTTTGAACATTTCTAAGTTGCTGGCAAATGTTTTAGTTCCCCTTCATTGCTTCTTCTTTCATTCTCTCCGTGACCTACTGTATTCCTAAGTAAAAATTGCAGCGTACTGTAAAAACAAAATGTTTTAATGGAACAATGAATCTTAATAATACTCTTCTGATGTGCGAAAAGGAAATATGTAAATAAAAACTTAAGTGAACGGCATGACATGACAGAGTGACTGTTGCCTCCTTCCAGATGATAAATCCAGTCTCTGCTACCTCTTTGAGAACAGCCTGTGTGTCTCATGAACGGCCTGGTGCTCCCAGCTTGGGGCCGAGAGGCTTGTAATTGCCCCGTGAGCTTGCTGAAGGCCTGCAGAGTAATCATATTCCTGCACACAGTAGAAAGTCTGGCTGGGCCTACACAGGCTGTTGGGACTGCTGTATGTATCAGAGAATTGCTTAGGATGTTGTAGTTTTGTCTGCATTCTGCTTGTTTACTGTAATTAAAGTTGGGATTCGTAGGGTGGGAGTTTTGAATATGCTGCCTTTGAGTTAAGCTGACAGATGGAAGTATTTTCTTGCAGAGCATCAGTTTGGCTCATGCAGCATGAAAGTCTGTTCATATTCTCTTAGAATTAAAAAAATGCAATATGGGCTACTGATTAGTTACAGCAAAGGTTAAACAGCTGGTTATGAAAACAGCTACCTGAATTATGATTGTAATTAGTAAGACTTTATAGTTGGATCACTTTTATTGAAAGAGTACTTACATTTCCTCTTTCAGTGCATCTGATAATGGCTGTTGTAACAGCAGGGCGTTAGCTTTGTGTTCACAGTATTTTGTTATGCTTGCTCAAAACATTTGGAAATAGGGGATTATTGCCACTTAAATTTGCATAGTTAATGTTGGAAATACAAAATTTTTCCAAGATAGATTATGCAAAGAAACAGGTAGCTAACTAGAAATGGAAGGGATTTGGGGATATGGGAGGGATGTATTTTGACAGTGGTGAAGGTTATAAACACAAGTGAGTAGTGTATCACTCTACTTTGAATGCATAACGTTCATAAGAGTCATAGAGAGAGGCAACTTTATATTTACATATATATTATATATATTATTTATGCATATAAACAGTCAGGCGGGTTTTTTATTTGATATCTTCCTGCGGAATCCTTAGTTCTTTTCAAGAGACTAAGGCTGTAATCCTACTGCAGGTAGAACTGCATTTTACATCTGTTCAGAAACCGAATGCAGGTCAAGAAGTCTTGTTAAGCACCATTGCTAAGTGAGTGCATTAAAAGTAGAGCTGTTTAGTCTGCCCAAGAGTAAGGTTGTTGATCAATAGAATTCTAAATATGGAGCCTTCTAAGAGCGGGGAAGGTAGTTTGTTGTCATGTAATTTTTGTCATAATTTTTGCAGAAATGCCTGACTTAAACCTTCATTGAGATACCTGGTTGAAGGTTAGTCAGAACATGTAGAATTTACTCTCTCTCAAAATTAGCTTGGCCTTTAGTCTTCGCTTGTTATTATTTTGATAGGGAAAGTATAGTGAGTAGGGGTAGTTCTGCAGACTGCTCTGTAGTTCTTTGGATAGCGTGGAGTATTGGATGAATTTTTTTCATAACTGGTAATTCTCTACTGTTGGTCCTAAAGTTCTTCAGTAATAAGAATTTGTGCTCATAATATTACTTGGTATTAAAAAATAAAATTATTTCACAGCCAAAGAAACCACTTTTGTTGAAGAACTACTTTTTGTATTTTTAGAATAGTATTTTTAGAAGAGTGGATAATGCTGATTCTTAATTGATCTCTCGATATCTTTAAATCAGACTGAGAGCTGCAAGTTTGTAAAATATTCTTTACTCTTTACAATTAAACTACTTGAAGGTAATGATGGAGATTAGCACAGCGCATCAATATATGAATTACTGAATTTATTCAATATATATTATATTGAAGACAGGTGATAGCTGGATAGTACAGAAGATGTGCAGTTTTAAAATTGACCCTTTTAGTGCTGTTCTGCTGTATATTGCTTGTATAAAGTAAGTCTGTCTAGTGATGTAACTATTCTGTGGAAAAACGCAGTTATTTCCCGAAAAGCGTTTTGCTTACTGTAATGATATCTTAAAAGGCTCGTGCTTCAGCGTGTATCCTGTTTTCTAAAGATGTGTGCTATCTGCAGAGGCTTCCTGCAGAGGATATCACTTGGGCTGTTTCTGCTCCCAATGCTGAGTACTGACTCTGTCTGCTCTACTGTCATTCAAATCTTAATTTCTTATCAGCTGATAGTTAAATTCAATTATTTTTGTAGCAAGTGGAGTAGAATACCCTATGCATTACTTTAATATATAGAAAGCTGTGAGATGCAATATATTTTCTGATACTATTTGAAAGAGGTACTCATTGATACCGATTTTAATCGGCCTTATAAGCTAAATGTACATTTTTATTTGAGAAAACTTTTTTTTTGTGAAATAAGATAACAGATGTATAAATATACACCTGCTTATACTTTACCTGGTAGTAAATATCTTCTCCTATGCTTGATGTAAAACCGTTTACTGGGAGAAAATAAATATAGCCTGTTCAGCATTAGAGGAACTAATCTGCCATATGTGGGGTATACTTGTTGCTGACAGGCAGGAAGTTTTGATTAGAAAAACTTAAACTTCTCTTAAACTTGAGCACTTAAGTGTGTGGCATATTGCAGAACATTATTATAAGAAGTACTGTTCCATTACAGAACAGCCAAGGTTTTAGCCTTTGCAAGTAATCCTACCTTTTTGTTTTCCTGGTGTACTTTTTTTTCAGTTATTTGCGTGCTTATTAGCACTCCCCTCTTCCTGATTTTGAAAGCAGGCCTTTTGATTTGACATTGCAACCTAGTGCGTGGCTCAGTGCAGTTATGAATATTTTTCTCAAGTGGGTGATAATCGGAACAACTAAAAGCTTGGTGATAATATTGTTTAAAATAGGCTTTGTGGAATGCTGGTTTCGAAGAATTTCTTGCTCAGGGAGGTTGCTGTGGCCCAGGGCGAACTGACAGGATTGAGAATGTGTGTTCAGTATAGCAAATAGCCCTGTCGTTTGGACACTTACTTCAAACTAATTCTGGATGTAAACCATACCGTCTATTCCAGAGCAGGGTATTTCCTCCTTGCCTCAGAACAGACAGAGTCTCAAATTTATGTTGTTTTTCATAGGACTTTCTTGACAAGGGTAATATTTTTGGAGAATGTTTCAACTAGAGGTTTCTGGCAGCAAAACTGTATTTTGGAGTGTGATGAGACATTTCCAACACTGCTTTCAAGTCTGAAGTACTATCCAGTTGTCCAGACAAAGCAGCCCTTTTATTGATTTAAGTTGTTTAGATCAGGATGAAGAGGAGAAGCAGAAGAAAGCTATGCCAGCAAGAGGTACTGCTCAGCTGTTGTAAACAATATGGATATAGATGCTGCTTTGACTGGTGTATGTGGTGTATATCTGTTTAGTCTCATCTGATTTTCATTGTGATAGAAGCTTTCAAAACAAACTTTCACTTCCATTTCATAGAAAAAGAAATGATTTCTGGCATGATTTTTATCATCAGCCCAGTTGTTCTGTTTTTGAACTGTATTTTTTTTTAATAAAAAAAAAAAAAGCTTTCTTGGTTCTATCAATCTAAAGGAGTACTTTCTCTTCTGACGTGTATTTGACTCCTAGAAGACACACATTGGTTAGTGGTCTGACATAGTCTGTGGCTTCTGTAGACCAGAACAGTGGCTATGGGAAAGACGGTATTTTCTGGAGTATGGGAATTTAAGGTTTCATCCTCGTGTAAACATAGTAGATGGGTGCAGTGATAATAATTCCAGCATGCAGCTCTGGAGCATGCTGTGGCTTTATGAACGACAAATCTGTTTTCCCTTTTAACAGGTGGCGAGAACAACAGCTGGCTTTGTATTTCTGTTACTCCCTCCACTGCTGTGTGGGTGTTTTCTTTTTCTTTGCTTTAATTTTCCTTTTTTTTTTTTTTTTTTTTCTTCTTCTTCTTTAAACCTAGTATTTGGCACTTTGGAGTAGAAAGAAATCTGAATAATCTGACTTCCTTGTCAGTAAAGGAAAACTGAGTTAAGGGTGAGAAATGGTTGAATGATAAGAGCTTAACCTTTCAGATTAAAGCAGTCTTTGTCATATTTTGCAGTCAGTGATTTGCTATGCATCTGTGCTTGGGTTTAATTGATAGGCTATGCCTTGTGTTTGAGAAAGTCCAGCCCCAAAACAGCCTATATGGTGGCTGCTGTCATCTTGATTAGATGCAGGCTTTCTAGCACACTATCTGTGTTTGTCCGTTCTGAAACACGTTGTTACAATTCACTCCACAATGGCTGCTTTAGGAAATCCAGTCTGAACTGAAGACTAAATAGGCTTAAAACAGACTTTGAGATAGATCAGTCACCTCCGGTGGGGTTAAATAAGTGGATTGGGGAGGAGAGAAAAGCTTACAATTTAGATCCTTTCCCCTTTGGGATGGCTCAGAGGGCTTTCCAGTGCCAGTCATGTGGGGAATTGGGCTATCTGAAAAGCTATGCACTCCTATGAGTAATGTTCTTTTGAAATAAGTAGCTTGAGAGGGGTTGCATGTGGAAATATATGAAAATTTTGTTTGAAATGTTTTGGATAAGTTTTAAGCAAAAGCTTTCATTACTTTCACAGGTTGTTCACCTCCAGTTTTATGTATATGTACTTTCAGATGGTATCATGGAAAGCTTGACAGAACAATTGCAGAAGAACGACTTCGGCAAGCAGGAAAACCTGGTAGTTACCTCATTCGAGAGAGTGATCGGAGACCAGGCTCATTTGTGCTTTCTTTCCTTAGTAAAGCAAATGTCAATCATTTTAGGTGAGAATTAAATGTTTTCTTTTAAATGTGATAATCTCTTTATGGTTTTAGAGCCCAGTATATTATAGAAAACAATCATTGTAATCGAGTATTTCTGAATGTTTTTTGTTCATGTATGATATAGGTCTTGGGTTTAATTGTTTTTAAAACATGCTACTTAAAAACAGAGGTTGTTTTGAGTGTTTTCCTCAGTCACTGCAGCCCATGGGGCATACTTGAATGGCACAGTTGTAACAAACCCGGGTGCTCTCCTTTACTTTGAGAAAGAAACATCAAGGAGAAACAAAGAGTTTATGTATTTAATAATCCAAGGGTTTTCTGGAACAGCTTTTGGTATGTGTTAGGATTAGTTGCTCTAAATACGAATAGCTGTTTATCCAAAACTGTAGCTAGGATTACTTTAGCATTAGCAACTTATGTATATCAATAAATTCCTTTATTGCCTTTAGCATAAGTAAAGTGTGTTGCAGGAAGAGCTTGAATGTTAGTCAGCAAGTAATGTGCTTCAGTGTAATGTCAATCTCCACAAAACAGGGAGGCCAGGGCCTCTGCAGCAGCAGAAAAAACCCTGTGTCAGCTATCTAGATAGTGAGAAACTAATGCAAATCCATCAAGTTTGGAAAGGGAAATTAACCAGAATACCAGTGCATGTACCAGGTGCCCTAAAATGGTTCAATTTGCATTACAAATGTGGGGAGTTCTTGAATGCATGTGTCACTTAATGAGCTGCAGCTCAGAGGCCCAGGTTCTGCTTGCGAGCTTGTCATTCTTGGTGCAGACAAAACAGTGCAGAGGAAGTTTGCTCGTGTTGGCAGCATGCTGTGTTTGAGCTGACAGTCACTGCTCAGCTGTGCTGATTCTGTTTGGGAACTGGTTACTGTGTAGCAGGCAGTAGCAGAATATTAAACAGTGCCAATACTTGCTTTTAACTGTCGTACTTCACAGTCTGATTTTAACTGTAACTTCTGCTTGTGAGCGGCAGCAGGAGTTTGAATATTGGTTTATGCGACCATAATATGTTTTTTATCTCAGATAGGATGTAGTCTGTAATAATTTCCTGTTCTCAGAGGAAAGGAGTCTTTATTGATTCCCCTCCCCCCCTAATATTAAAGAATCTTTCATTCTTAGATCCACAGAGTGCATGCAGAGGTAACTGTATGCAAAGGAAATTAGTTATTTATTGATACAGTTCTTTAGAGGTGACATGCTTATGATTTATTAAAAGGCAGAACCAAGGGGTTTTTGTTTGTTATTAGAAAGATAATTCAAGAACACTGACAACCTCAAGAGTGGCAGGCTTAAAATTATTTAAAGTGATTATAGGATGGATGATTGTATCCTACAGGGTGGAAGTGCCACTTCCACCAAAACTTGATCTTTAACAATTGCAGGCTTCCAGAGATGGGTGAAACTTCCTTTGCTAAACAATCTTCCTGATGCTTTGTTTCCTAAAAGTGGTATTTTTCAGATTAAACTTCCTTTACCATAGTTTGTGCAATTAAAATCAAATCATTTTAGATGAAAGTTTCTAATTTTGTTAAAGGTACATGTTCTGCATTAAAAATTCAATGTTATCCTTTCTTAAAAAAAAAAAGGAAAAAAACCAGCAAAATCTTTTCTTCTGTCAAGCTATTTTTTTTCCTCTCCTCCTTAATCAGGATTATTGCCATGTGCGGAGACTATTACATAGGTGGGCGTCGTTTTGCTTCGCTCTCAGACCTAATTGGTTACTACAGCCATGTGTCTTGTTTGCTCAAGGGGGAAAAATTACTCTTTCCAGTAGCACCTCCAGAGGCAAGTAAAAAATAAAGTGTTTATATGTTATTGATCTTGTACTCGATGTTCAGTTTTCTATAAAGAAAACATTGTAGAAAAATACATTCCAGTTTTTAGAGTTGTCTCAGTATAAGGAATGTGTAGGGGCATTCTTACTGGTACAAAGTAATGATTAGAAATGCTTTTTGATGAAAGTATGTGATTAGAAAGCTAGATATGAGGTATTGCAGGTATCTCCAGAGTGTAGTACTTAAATTGTGATAACAAAATGTGCAATTCTTGGCTACTGAAGAGCACCATTATAATGCAGTTAGCTTTGTAGTTTTACACTGACTTACAGTATTTCAAAATAATAAAATATTTTTGTTTTCTACTATTTTATATATCACATTTTAAAACATGAATTCTGGAAATAACCCAAGTTTCTGAAAGCTGGGCTTCTTTCACGTGGTCATCCTTAGGACAATGTTAGTAGTTATAAACAAAACAAAAAAGAACCCTACAAGTTATGTCCTGTTTCTGCCTAAACAAAATCCATAATCTGAATAGAGATATGAATGTTAAACAATGTTAAATGTTAATCTGAAAGTTAAACTTGTATGCACTTCTTTAAATAAAGCTTTCGTGAGGGTTGTTTAATTTGTAATTTATTTTTAAGATAATAACATAGATTATCTAGCGTGCTATAAGGCTAGAAACAAAATGAGAGTTTTCTTAGCCAACTGTACGGATTTTGTATTTTTAGCTCTTACAACTTAAGAATCTAAACATTTCAAACCAGCAAGGAGTATGAATGGCTACTGCTAGACACTTGCTTGAAAATGATGTAATTCGGGGGAATTCTGCTGTAAAAAGGAGAAATTAACATCTTTGTTCTCTTATCTTAAATTGCAGCCTGTGGAGGACAGAAGGAGAGTTCGAGCAATTCTACCTTACACCAAAGTGCCAGAAACTGATGAAATAAGGTATGTTTTTAATAATAAGTAGAAGCAGTTGTGAAATTATCAAAGTATTTATAAATAGTAATGATTTGAGTACATATTCACTATGCAAATATTTTTCATATATTTTTTAACTTCATCTTAGAGGTAGCTCTTGTGAGGTTAAAACATATGTATGTGTGTGTGTATATATATATTTTATTTTTTGTTTTCTGGAAGATACGGGAACTACACTTTTATTCTGGGTATACTGATTGTAGTTTAAAATAACTTTATATTTTGTATAGCCTTGGATTTTTTTCTCAAAGAACATGAGTTTGTGTACCAAAGTATTCTGTGTGGTTTAAAAAAATAATAATATTTAGCGGGAGTGTGTTTGGAATAAAAGGATGAAGGCTTTTCCCAACTACAGAAGTAACTAACAATGGATAAATTAATTGTTCAAGTCAAACCAATCCAGACGACTCAGAAGAGAATATGATTTTTGAGTATCTGATAAATCTAGCAATAGTAGAAGAGAAAAGGCACACCAGAAATCTCTCATTTTCTAGCACTGATTTTGTTGCCTGAGCTTAAAAGTCTGGTGACTTTTTTTCTGAAATTCTTTTCTCTGTCCTTAAAATAAAGCAAGAATGATTCTTTCTTTCCCTCTCTGCTCCCTTTGCCTCTTTTCACTAGATTCTCTATTGAACAAATGATAGTCTTAGATTTGTAACCTCTAGTAATCTTTCTTTAATCACTTAAAAAGTGAATAAATTGCTAGGCTATGTGTCTCTATTTTTTTTTATCATCAAACTTTACATGTTGATTGTACTTCTAACTTAAACCTCACTGTAACTTCTCTTCAGTTTCCTTAAAGGAGACATGTTTATTGTCCACAATGAGTTGGAAGATGGCTGGATGTGGGTTACAAACCTACGGACAGATGAACAAGGTCTGATTGTAGAAGACCTGGTAGAAGAAGTGGTAAGTAATTCCATATTCAGAGCTGTTTGAGAGATTAAATTTTGGATGAGGGTAGGGATTTGTTAAGAATAACGTTGAAATAAACAAAACCCAACAACATTTAGTTGCCTGATTTCAAGTTACATGCTTTTTTGTGTGTTGTTTGCTTTGTGTGGGTAAGTGTGCTTTTTTGTTATTATTTTATTTTATTTTTGTTAATTGGAGCTGCCAGTTTTAAAGTATTAAAACTAACCTTCAAGCCTAATTCAGTATTGGAAATAAACAGTATCAAACACTTATTGATTGGTTGGTTGTCGAGACAAGTTCATGTACAGGTAAATGATACTATGAATTTACTAGGCATACTTACCATAAATTCAACTGTCTTTATAATGAAGACAGTTCCATAGTTCCTGCTAGTCCATAATATTTGCCAAGAATAGAGGACCAAAGTCTATCTTAAAAACTGTGTGGAAAGTTAATATAAATTGTTTATGCTAAGTGAGGAAGCTAACCAGGTGACCTGAAGATAGTGTAATTACTTCAGGGAAAATCATTTAGTGGACTTCAAAAAAAAAGGTTTTTGTAAAGCTCGGGTGTTGCTTTGGAGTCCCTATGGTTTTCATGCATGGCATGTACATTTTGTTAATAGTAGAGTTAGTTTAGCCTGTTTTCCTGAGATCTATATCAGGATGTGAATGTCTAAATTGTGATGCATTTCAGTGTGAGAGAATGTCCTGTAGACTTTTACATCAGCAGTGGAAGTCAGACTTAGAAAAAAGTCTGACTTTTTTGAAATTAAAAAGTTGTTGCCTGTGAAGAAGGATTTAAAGCATAAGAGAATCAAAAATCCTTTGAAATAACATTTTGGTTGAGTTTCCACTTGATGAATAAATTCAAAACCCTTTTTGAGTTCAAACATTTCTCAAACTTATTAATGTTATTTATTTCTGTAGAAGGTTTTAACCTGTAAAATTTATTTTCTAATCTCAGTTGTACTGTTTTCATGTACTTAATATGTAAATTTTCTTATTAGGGAAGAGAAGAAGATCCACATGAAGGCAAAATGTAAGGACTTTTGTTTTGTTATTAAAAGCAAGTTGCAAGATAACTTTGTAAACCAGCTTGCCTGACCCTTTTTTTTTTTTTTTTTTTTGTTTACTTTTCTGTATTTACTGCTGATAGTACATAGATAACTAACACAAGACATTCATGCCAGTTATGCCTAAAAGTGCATGTGTTTGGCAGTGGTGATATCTTAGATCAGTTCCACTCAAAAGATGCACAGTGGAGCTGCTCTTTTTATGAAGTAGCCTGTAAGAGGTGCTTGGAGCCTAGGCACTCTTGGTCCTCTGGTGGTCCACAGATCTCCATGCTGCTGAGAGGACTGTAGAGGAGGTAGGTGGGAATTCCTTCAAATATTCCCATACCAGAAGTTGTCCTCTAAAGACAGTATGGTGTGGTAGAGCAATTTTTGATGCACAAAGAGGCTTCTCCCACCTGCCTCCTAAAAACAGGAGTGAAGTGTACGCGGTATTTCCGCTTTTTATTTAAAAGGCGGAATGAAGTCTTAAGGTGTAGCATATGATATACTGGAAATAAATGGAATAGCTGTACATTGCTGAGCTGCTCTGGTCATAAGCAGCACCCTGAGACTGGACTGACTGCTAAAATTTTATTAGGACGGTGTCCTTGACTTCTGCAGCGACCTGCAGAAGATACAAGGTGTGAGATTAAAACATCATTCACTAGTCTAACAAAGCACGGGTTAACTTCTTCAGCTTCTAGCAAAGTTCAGTTTTAGTTATTCTGTACACTATTTAACCTTTATACTCATCTCCTTGTTAGGGTTTGTTAGGTCTTAGCATTTCATATGCCTAACACTGCTATATGAGATCGACCTCAAGTAAGGTCTATCAGATTATCTATTGTTTAAACAATATCTTATTATCTCTAAATACACTTAGGTTTGAATGTCATCAAAATTAGTTTATCTGTTAAAGTTTGTTTTTCATTTCATTGTAAAACATTCTGTTTTACATTTCATTGTAAAACAGAATCACACAGTGATTAGTTGTTCAGTCTATTCAGTTCATGTTCAGTTAGATGTCTTTGTAAAAAGGTTAATTCTTAGGTGCCAGAGACTTCGATGTCACCACAATCAAAAAAAGAGAGCCAATAGTCTTGCTTTCTAATTTTTTTCTTCATCTTTGTTAAGATGGTTCCATGGGAAGATCTCCAAACAAGAGGCTTACAATTTGCTGATGACAGGTACTTGTATTTCAGATGGAAATACTATGGTAGTGAACCACACACAAAGTAGTGGCACAAAGTAATGCTATGAATATCAAACTGTGGCAAAAATTGGGTTTGTGAATGAACATAAGAATTTCTAATTCTGAACTGAGTTGTAGTTTCTACTACAGGAAAATGCTAACCCGGAAAAATCTTTTAAGGCTATCAAAATTGAATATTTTTAGTCTTGAGTGGAGTTCGTTTCATCATTTTAATTAGTTAAATATTATTTGACTTTATATATAATAATTTCTTAATTGTCTTCATCAAGATGTTGAGTAGAAGAACTGAAAATACTGTTCCCTCCTTAGGGAGGAGAATGTATCTAAATGACATGTCCCTGGCCCTCCAACTCTGCCCTTGTCTCTTTGCCCACCTCCAGCATAAATGGGAAAATCAAGATTGTTAAATTGTACCTTAAATACAGGGACAAAAATCTTTTATTTTTTGAAGATATTTTGTCAGACGCTTAACTATCTTTTGTAAAGAGATGAAAAAATTTTGGGCAGACTATCAGCTACAGCTGAACCATTTTGCATCAACTTGTGCAGTTTTGTAGCACTTCTCATCTGCGTAGAGAGGAGCAGGCTCAGTGTTTGAGCTTCCCTCCCAGACTTTGTCTCTTTAAGTGTACAATTCATGCTGATTTATGTAGAATGGGATTTGTTAAGAGCTTTTAAAGGACACCATAAAATAAGCAGTGGTGAGTAACAGTACATTATGATGTCTTTTCAGTTGGCCAAGTATGCAGTTTTCTTGTGAGGCCTTCAGATAATACACCTGGTGATTATTCACTTTATTTTCGGACTAGTGAAAATATTCAGCGTTTTAAAATATGTCCAACATCAAACAATCAGTTTATGATGGGAGGCAGATATTATAATAGGTAAGTTTTAATGGTTAAAGGAATTGTGTAAAGAATTTACAGTCTAACTTGTTCCTGGTAATTATTTGTTGGTGTGGTTGTAAGACTTTGGTATCTTTTCAATAGTACGCTAAGAATTTTATCTAACTTGCCTAGTGGTTGCTTATAATTAAGAAAGTTCTAAAGGCCTTCAGAAGCCTGTGTGCAACTTGTTTGTTTCAAAGTATTTTTTTCAGCCAAGCTCTTTCAGCTGGTTTATTCACTCTGTAAATTGGATCATGGCATGTAATCAAGAATGCTGTGTTGCCTTGGAAGCTACTGTTCATCATGAAGTTTCCTGCAGAATGAAAAGGGAAAATAACCTACTATTATCTGAAACATTTAGTAGGGTTGTCAAAATATAAATAATAAAAACAGGTATTTACAAGAATGGGAAAAATGATCATTGTTACTGAAAAATCATTTTAAAATGTGAATGAGGCTTTAGTCAGAACTGTAGATCATTTACAGTGAGGAAGCTTGATGGTTCGTTTTGCTGTTGGCATTAAAAATTCGGTAATGGGTACAAAAAGAAAAGGAAATGACAAGTCATGCATTTCCCCTTTTATGGGAGAGGCTTTTGGTGCATTCTCATCTTTAATGATCCTCTTTTTAGTGTGTCACAGATTTGAGACTTCTTAATAATGAAAACTCATCTCTCTCTCTTAATGGAGGCCATCGTGGATCACAGAAAATCAGAAAATTTCCGGATTTGTTCATGTAGAACCATGTCGTGTCTTCATCCCAGTAGATAATTTCTCTCACTTCCAGCTTGGCTTCTGGGTAGTTAGAGATGCAGGAGCCCTTGTGCCTGAGAATGTACCAAGGTCTCCTAGCTAAGTTCAGTGGATGGTCATACATCTTCAAGTGGGTGATGGTGTGAGCCTAGGCAATTAGAACCTTATGTATCTAGGCCTATCCTTGCACATGCTGTTCCAGTGCCTTTTGCTTGAATCAGTCTGGCCTCCAGGCATCCTCACTGAAAATCAAACTAGCTGCAGTGTCACCCTTTCAGGAAGGTAAATGCTGCTTTGGCCATTCTCTAGTTCCTGACGTTAGGAGGATGATAGGTTAAAACCACCCCTCTCAGATGGTGTCAAACTGACTAGCAGATCTATTGGAAGTCTTCCTCCCAAATGGTTGGATAGTGTACCTTCAGAAAGTTACTGTGCCCAGTTAGCTATTGCTTACATAAACTCTTTTTTTCTGAATGCTGAAGTTTTTAAATGCTATCCTTGAAGTGTGTTTATGAAAGTACGTTTATCCCAAGATTTTTTTATATGAATGGAAAGCAAGATTATATAGTTAAGCACTATGAAATGCTTAGTTATGAAATGCTTACTGTGGTTTTTGAATATTTTGGCACTTAATTTGCAATGATTTGGTAAGAGCTTATAAATGCTGTAACAGCAGGTAAATAACAGCATTTTGTGATATCTTAAGTTGGACAGATGTGCAGCTGTCTTGTGAATCCTATTTTTATATAAATATAACGTATGTACACACACACACCACATACATGCAGAATACGCCTGGTTTATTATTCTCTTTCAACGTAGTGAAAGAGAATCTATTTAGTTTTGAAAGATTTCTGGTTGTATACATTTGTTTCAGGGAATTTACTCCTAGGTTCAAATTCTGTTTAAGGTAACATTTACTGGATCAAGCTGATAAAGTTCTTGTTAATTCAAATATTAATTTCTTGTGTACTCTGGAAGAAGAAAGTTTTTGACTATATGACAACTAATGTGGATTATTGAATGGAACAGTGGAAAGCGGCTAAAAAAAATCAAGTGGGGTGTTGCATCCAGAACAGAGACAAAGGAAGTATGAATTTGTGCAAGATATTAGAATGATTTACAAGTATTGTCTGTATTTGTTTATAGCTTATCTAAAAATGTAGAATTTCTCTTCATGCTGAAAAACTTCAGAATGAGGGAATGCTATTGCTCATTTAAATGCATCTGACAGTCTCCATTATCAGAACTCTGAACTGCTTTATAATAGGCTGTTTCAATAAATGTTTTCAAGGTATCACCTTTAGTATTGGTTACTAAGACCTATTAGAACAGTTCTTTTTTTCAGTTATCCCTTGTAGTAGTTTTTTTAAGCATTATTCTCTTGCAACTCTAGTATCGTAATTGGTGTAAAAATACTTAAAACAAGTCTGCTCTTTGATTGCAAAATTTTGATTATGGTTCTACTTGTAATAAACTACAGATCAAGATGTTCCATAGCTGAAGAGTAGTAAGGAAGCTTAAAA